AGGACTCGGGAGCTATAATAGGTTTGGTAACCAGCCTAAATATCAATTACATTGTACCACCTTTTTTTCAGTGAAATATTTTTCAGTACTAAATAAATGGGATAAATAATCAGAGCTCACATACACTGTGCGTCTTTAAAAAATCACCCTTCAATGCAAAACCCGTTGATGTAGCTTATTAATTGAATGAGGTAATATTGGTCAGATCTAAGAGGAAAATACATTAAAGAATGTTTCGATCCTAGAGACTACATGTTAGACCTAATAGTTAAACCTTTATTGTTACTGCATACATATATTCTGTACGTAGCATGACGTTGTCCATACATGTATTTAGCCTTGTTAGATCTTTAGTTGTAGAAGACCATATAAAAGTCCCTGTACTTTTTGTTGTGTCAATAAAGAATCTTTCTAACGTAAAAATCCGGGTATGTGAGCGACAACGGAAGAACGGAATTCAATGGACACGGGGGAGTGGGGCTAATTACCACAATTCCGTTTACACATCAATGGGCATTGCGCACTTATGTAAGCGTCCTGAACTGTTACAGTTTCCTCCCACGTACTCAAAATAGCTTGGAAATATGTACTAAATATACATTTTTATTTGCTTTCCTCCTACATCCTTCTTTTCTATTTCTGGCAGCAATTATTATATGTTACAATATGTTATATTTCTATCCTATTCTATCTACTCGTACCTGAAAAACTAACAAATGATTATTCAGGTAAATATAAAGGTCTTTCAAAATCTCTTAATTGAAATAAATCAATTGAAAGAAAATATGCTAGGTGATAAGTTAATGAAACAATATGATAAAAACAACGTATAATACATGCCCCTATAAATAACGGGATTCGCTACCTATTATAGTATATATTAATCATAAAGTGTTTTGTTTATGCAAGAATAATGATTTCAAACTGTTATTCCAGCTCAGTTCCTCCCATGTACTCCAAATAGATAGTAAATGTGTAACCTAAATATGTACTAAATATATACACATTGTACACCTACGCCTTTTACTACATACTGCAATTTACTCTTTCTAAAGAGACGAAAATAAACTACCTGAAGCGTCGGGCTTGTAGTCCTATTCCACTCGCCCACAAAGAATGTATAGCAAGATAGTATAAAAGAAATGTGTAGAAAATAACGGTGTGCTAATGAGCCTTTTGGTGGCACTTATGCCAAGGGCATGTGAGTACTTACACACGTGTCGTGTGGTTTGAAGCTATTAAAGATTGACTGAAATCCACGTGTTCACTCATTACACCCAACCTAAACCGTATCCTCTGTATTAAGGTCTCATTAACGCTGACGTACACCAGGCGAGATTTGACACTAATACGGCTCTGCCTAGGGGAGATTGCTTCAACAATATAAAATCATAGAACAATAGAAAATTGTTTTTATGGCAAATAGGAGTAATTTTAACACATTTGTGTACTTATCTTACATTTCTGACATTATGGTAAGTGCTAAAACAGCCCACACAAGGCGCACTCGGTTTGTGGCATGACCACAAGTCAACCAGAATGTACTCGTAAACAAACATCTCATTTGACTGTGCTTCCAGCTGTCGTAAGGTGTCACATTTTGGCACTTCCACTTCCTGAATGGCACCGAAAATGTACTTCTTGTGTCGTCCTAATGTTCCATGATGCAGCTTCAACTCTCTGGATGTGTACAACAAATTTGTTATAGTAAGATCTCTGTCCTCCTCCATGCTGTACTTCTATCTCCATGACCTGTACTTAATACTGTGGCTTGTAAGAGTATCAACGTACAATAAAGGTCCTTCGTGCAGATGACTATAGGTTAAGTCCGAAACTCGTTAATACTGTCTATGCAATTCGTGATCTAAACAGCTGCAGAGGATGTCTTCATTCGGCTGTTAAAGCGGTTTTGAAAGTGGTCACGAACCGAGCAGATCATTGAAGTTTGCAGTACACGAGTCCCCGCGCACGTGGTCGCCGCCACGTGTCCTCTGAGCAGCTACAGGGATGTACTCACCCCGACGCTCTCTCCAAATCGGAAATGTTCCTCAATAACACATGTCGATTCCGCCACGTGTACTCTGGCCGCCTGAGTGCCCATCCATGCCTTTCTACTTGAAAATTCTCTCAAAATCAGAGAGGAGTCTGTTTTGACAAAGTCCTCGGCTAATCAGGTTCAGATTTACTGTCATCAACCTGCATGTCACATTACAGCATTGCATGATATGAAATCCGTTAATAACGGGATCATATGGAGCAAATTACACACAGATAACCGTATACATCTAAAACATATTTAAAGGCAGTTTAAACAAAGTCGGCACATTAAATTTAAAAACAAGAAGATAAAATCTAGCCACTTCTGTCACATCATATTAAAATAGATTAGCTCTTATTGAAAAACTTCAGAGCTTGTACAAATGAGAAATTCATGTTGTTTTAACTTTTTTTCTTTTACTGCTACTAAATTTCCTAAGTCGTGCTCTAGGCTGGTAACCTTACCATACCGAGAGATCCCGGGTATCTCCCCGGTGCTGGGAGTGTTGTCCACCCGTACAGGTTCACTAGTGCACACCCACGCTAACCTGCGCCCCCTCAAACATGTGCCTCCCGATGAGGTTATCTGAGGGTAACGGATATTAAGATGAAACAAAAAACACAAAGTTCATTGAGCTGATGTCAAACTCTTTGATCATCTTTCACGTTTGGCTGTTTTTATTTCTCATGGAGTGAAGAAAATGTGACCTCCTAGATTCCAACCACATAAAGGGATACACGTGATGGGGCTTGTCACTCCAATTCAGATGTTTCTGCTCAAGTGAGTGGGACCAGACGAGCTTGTAAGCATTGAAGTGTGATCTGAGCGTACTTAAACATTGATGCTTGAGGAGTCGAAGGGCGGTTTTTGACAGAACCAAGGGCAAGTAGATCACATGGAATAACACCAGGGCTGAAAGTGGCCCAAGGCCATGTGATCGGAGAGGGTGGGGTGGGGTCATACATATGCAGCTCTATGGCGTTACTCTTGGCCACAGTAAACTTTAACCAGCGTTTCTCTCAGGATGTGGAGAGGACATCTCAGCACAGTACATGCTGACTAACGCTGAACACAGTTATCCAGCTGTTACTACTGTAAATGATACGTGTATCGGAAGCGGAGGGAGGAAACAAACGTTACTGTTATATTTTTCGTCTTCTTTCGCCGTTTTGTTACTATAGAGTTAGAAAATACGAGCTGGTCTTGCATGAATGTACCGGTAGGCTTGTTTGACTTTTGTAGCCTTCAAGCAAAAGAGGGGAAAACGTAAAAACGCAGAAAACAAAGTCCACCTATACCTCGGGTTTTGGCCAATGACCTCTTTGAACCGAATTCGCCCAGGGTCATGATTACTGGAAAGACGTCAAATAAGGCTGAAAGCGTTACAGAGTCCAAAACATGAAAGAAACAACATTCGTTGCCACTAATTTAATTATATTTTCCATCTCCTGTAGGTTTTATTTGATTTATTTTTCAGAATGCTACAAAAGACAAACCCATGCCCGGAGGAGGGATTCTCGTCAGATGTTTTTGTTTTGATGAAGCAAGAAAATTTTAAGACAAAGTTCTGATGAAAGGAAAACTTTTCAAAGAGTCACAAATCTAGAGATGACACAAAACCCGAACGCTGTACAAAGCGCATCAGAAGAGTCATAGATAGGATCAAAGAGTCAAAGGGCTATTACAAAGGACCTGCCCTGTAATAAAATAGTAATGAGTCAAAGATCGAGAAGGAAAGGAGAAATAACCGGCCTCTATAATGATCTTTAATCTCATCTCGTTGTATATGTGTGATTTTTTTTCATAAGTTAGAAAAGGCTACGCGCGGAAGGGCCCTGGGCAAACTGGGTTCAAAGAGACGATAGGTCAATGCACGGATAAGGCAAAGATATCTATACCACAGTTTACAGAAGCGTACATTGTCCTAGTAGTCAGAAATTTTGGGATTATGAAGAGAGGGTTCGAATCCCGAAATGATACCCGTCAGTGCCTGCATGGATTCTCAATGTGCATGCTGCCATGCAGTTTTCAGTTCCCCTCGGGGATATGTCGAGGTTGGAAAAGTATTTTCAACAGGAATAATTTTCACCTGCCCCTTGCTCGACTTTGCTTCGGCCAGCTGCTGCCTACTGAATGGCAGTCCCTGAAAACATGTCTAAGATCACGTTTCTCACTCATACGTTCGTTAATTAGAAGTACAAAGCAGCTCTAAATCTGCTAGAATGATCAGATTTCAGCTGTCTGAACCGCAGGCTTTCCATAGAAAGTGTGCTCGCACTTATGGAAATCCGGTATGGACCGATTTTCTCGCATATGCTCCATCCCGTCCATCTAAAAAAGCTGTAATTCACTTTGCTCTCAGACACTCTTACTGGCAAAAACACATTTCTGGGGTCACGTTTCTGATCCATATGTCCATTAAGACTACAAAGCCCTTCTGTATGTATAACTGAGTCAGCTTGAATGATTGAATGTCAGGCGAAGAAGCTAGGCTCTGCTGCCATCTCCTATAATTGTCTGTAACTACACTGCGTGCGAGTTGAACACAGACACGCGTTAGTTAGATCTGCCAGCTGCGACATCGCTACCTACTTCAAACTCTCCGACATAAAAGGAACGTGAATCACGACTGTACAACATACTGTGTACAGGCTGTGGACATATAAGATGACCAATTCAACCTGAATCAACTGAACAGCGTACTTCAATATTTTGAGTAAATGGTCTACAAATTCTGCAAAACCTGGATGGATGGATGGATGGATGGATGGATGGATGGATGGATGGATGGATGGATGGATGGGTGGATGGATGGATGGATGGATGGGTGGGTGGATGGATGGATGGTTGGTTGGATGGATGGATGGATGGATGGATGAAAGGAGATTTTGACAGGATGGAGATTTCTAATAGTACAATACATGTTATTCAACTACTCTCATTAAAACAATTTCTATTGATCACAATACAGTTATACGTGCACATGTACATGTACACGTGAGCCTTAGCCCAATTCAAAATATGGAGCAGTGTCTTATGTAAATTATAACTTTATATAATCAAATAAATTGTCAAGTTTGCATTTTGTTGTGTTACTATAGCTAATGAAGCTACATTTTATTTCACTTCTTATCTCATCAAAATAATTTCTGAAAGGAACATACGTGTAAACAATTGTATCAAAGCAAGCCTCTACGTGAATATGTGCACGTACGATCTTTTGTCACAGTTCAATACATGTCCACTGCAAGAGGGTTGCATAAGCTCTTAAGTCAAGGGAATTGGATTTCCATCCGTAGCTATATCGGACGCCAAGTGTAGCCTTACATAAATTGCGTTTTTGGCCACGTTTCTTAACAACAGAACTCTAAGTAGGTCAGAGTGTTTCATAAAGGTGGTCTTAGATAATGCCTTGAATTTCGCGCGACTTTGCGCTGAATATAAATTTCTCAGTATGAAGTTACATGTTTTGTTAACAGTAGGTTGCAAATATATGATGAACATGTATCAGATTTTCATCTTTACCGAAAGAAAACATATTGATTTTTATCAGTTTCCTCTTCTCCAAACACACAAGGTCAATGACCTGAATCACATGTCTATCACAATGATAACTAGTGTTGGGTTACATGTTGCAATTTTATAGCAGGAGGGATGTAGACTTCTGCTGACCATATACATCAATGTGTTTGAGTAAGAATTAACGGAGCAGACCATATGTCAAGGTAAACATCTATATGCATTTGCTTTGCAAATGTTACCTTTCTAGTTTAGATTTAAACTCGAGCTCATAACTGTGTTTAACAGAAACAAGCTTCTCTTAACGTAATAGATAGCTTTAATTGTAAAAAAAAATCGTATTCCGGTGTGTTTCCTGCTAGCGGAATTCCATAACGTTCCGGCTTTGTGTACGAATCACGACGTTCATTACAACCTACGTAACTACCGTAACGACACATGGTGGTAGCTCAAGTTACCAGGTAACAGACGAGAATAGCTGGCGCATGCGGGTCGTATCGATATGGACCACAACCAAGCAGATCCCCTTAAGCTTATCTTATATTAACACCTGAGCGTGAGTATGAGATACCGTACAACGTTTCGTTTATTCTATCCTATTTTAAATACAGGAACTTTGGTGTGCGTTGCACGGATATGGTGTTTGCTGTCGTGTCGGCTTCCACCCTCCAGGCGGCGCTGTTGTCACCACTGATGGAACGTATTATCAAAAGTCCCTGGCATTGTTGACTTATGTCTCAGAAGGGAAGAGAGATTGAGAGTGTCAGATAGATTGTTATGCATGTGTGCGTGTGAGTGTGTGCGCGTGTGTGTGTGTGAGAGAGAGAGAGAAAGAGAAAGAGAGAAAGAGTGAGTGAGAGAGAATGTGGGCCTGTGTTTGTGTGTGTGTGCGTCTCTCCCTTTCTTTCTCTCTCTCCCTTCCTTTCTCTCCCTCTCTCTCTCTCTCTCTCTCTCTCTCTCTATGTGCGTAGTGTGTGTAGTGTGTGTGTGTGTGTGTGTGTGCGTGTGTGTGCGTGTGTGTGTGTGTGTGTGTGTGTGTGTGTGTGTGTGTGGTGTGTGTGTGCTTGTGTGTGTGCTTGTGTGTGTGTATGAGGCAGGGAAAACGTTAAATACGAGTAGCTAAAAGATAACTGAGAAAGAGAATCAATTTTTGCATACCACTACAGTATAAATCTCTGCTTGTAGACCACAGACTTGGCAGACACGGACTGATTAGCTGACACAACATGTAGTCTAATCATCACCGTAATATACTGCTGTACGCTCGATGGAACAATCTAGATCTGGGCCTTTGTTTGCCGTCGGGGCCAATCTTACATGTACATATAGGCTTTGGTGACCTGGATTGCCAGGGATTGATTCTTGGAACTGTATTTTTAGAAACACACACGGTCCTAATGATTTCAACTACATATAGACACAGCCAGGTGAATGCATACATGTGTGTATGTTATACAACATCTGATTCTAAACTGGACACAATTTCATAAATTAATATATGTTTGAATAGTGGGGCAATAAAAAGCGGAGGTTATTTTCTAAAGTTCAGACATTAACTACACACATTTGACACATTGTGTGTATTCTAGACCAGGTTAGGTAGGTTCATGTTATCCATTTTGGCTAGGATTTTATCCGTACTTATTCAAGTCATAGCTGCTACGAGTACCAGTTTTTTTTTTCTTTAAAAGCCTATTTGGGTAGTATTTACCATTCGAGAATTCGCGGTGATTTTTTAGACACTCCTTCGCCTCAAATTCAACCCTTGGTATTTATTTACATGACGACAGTGCGATGCAATTTTCGGGCTTCGACTCATAAACGTCTCTGATAAATCAATGGGTGACATTTCGTCGTTCATTCAAACAACACCAGTGCGTCGCCGAATCACCGTGCGGACCAATCGCCGGGAGGCGGCGGCTCGCTTTTGTCAATCACTCAGGCTCGGAGGCCGTCTTATCGGGATCCCGGTGACGTCAGGCGATGACGTACCCACCCACACGCTCCGTGGTTGGTCGGTATTTTGCAGCCCTCCCGGGGCGCTTTAAGCGGACATCCATCATACAGGCGCTTGGCGGGTTGCCGGCGTCTTCAGTCCGGCTCTACCATTGGAAGGAGACGGCTGCGTGGCCAGCGCTCTCCGATCCGGGCCCCAGATCGCCCTCACGTCTGGGAGCGTGAAAACATCAGTTCTTGGAACTTGCCGGTGATAGATTGTCGTGCGGGCAGGGTCGGTCTCCGTCTCCGCCTGTGACGGAGGTAGCGCCAGAATCGATCCGTGCAGACGTAGGTGAGGGTAGGCCTGGTAATGGGCTGCGGGATTTAAGATAAAGGCCCACTCTGAGACTTTATCGGTGTTTAGTGAGCCAGACGTGAGAGGCGGACAGTGACGGTATTCACACCGCCGTCAGCATGGAAGGCTTCCCCAACGCGAGCGTGTTCGATCAGGACTTTTACAACAGCACGAACTTCAGCACCGTGGAGACGGCCGTGGCGGCGGCGATCCCGCTGGATGTGGGTCCGCAGATCCCCCGGATCACCACGGGTCTGCACGCCGCGTCCCTCGCACTGGTGCTAGCTTGCGCCCCCATCGCCAGTGCCATCGTTCTCGTCATCCTCTTCCGCAAACCTCAGCTGCTGACCATCAGTAACAGGTTCGTCTGCAACCTCCTAGTCGTGGACTTGTTCCAGTCGCTACTGGTGGTTCCCTTCGCCCTGGTGAGCACCATAGCTCAGGACTGGATCTTCGCCGACGCCTTCTGCAAAGTCACGGCGATCCTGCTGCACCTGTTCCTGCACGTCGCCGTCATCACCGTGGTCATCATCTCGGTGGACCGCTACCTGGCCATCCTGCACCCGCTGTCCTACAACGACCGCATGACCCCGAACACGTCCATGTACCTGATCGGCTTCGCCTGGGTGCTGGGAGCCGTGCAGAGCACGCCGCCGCTGTACAAGGTGGGCAGCTTCGGCTTCGACCCGGACCAGCTGACCTGCACGGTCCTGTGGACGAACACGAACAGTTTCCCCTACGCCATCTACCATTCACTAGCTGCCTTCTGGTGCCCGCTGGTCATCATGGGCCTGGGGTACTGGCAGGTGTTCCTGGCCGCCAGGAAGCAGCACAAGCTCATCTACCCCTCCGTGAAGAGACGGACTCTGCACAAGGGGATCGTGGAGGCCGCGGTGTCGTGTGCCGTGCTCCCCGGACCCCCGGCCCACAACCCGTCCCTGGCGACCGCCCGCTCCCGGTCCCTGGACGACCTGCGCCGACCCCGCCGAACCTTCCGCATGGCGTCCCGCCGCATCAAGAGGATGCAGAAGGACTGTAAGGCCGCAAAATCGTCTTCATCGTGATGGCGACGCACCTGCTCAGCATAGGGCCACACACGGCCCTGGTGCTGGTCAAGGCCACCAGCCCGGACATCCCCGTCCCGGCCTACGCGGGGGCGCTGGTCATCTGCCTGTACTTTCTGCAGACCTGCCTGCACCCCTGTGTGTACGCCTACGTGCACCGCTCCATCAGGAGGGAGGTGGCCCTGCTACTGTGCCGCAGTCACTCCGCACAGGTAAGCATCAAACACGCATTCATCAAATCTTCAGTAGAATAACTGAATGAACTATCGGTTATCATATGTCACCGGTGAACCCAAACCAACCAAGCAAACTAGCTGACCAACTAACAGAACAACTTCAAGTATATACCTGCTTGTTGCATGAGATATAGTAAGGAGCAAATTTTGGGTCGCTTGAGGTAAAAGCTATATCAGATGTTATCAAACTGGTTTCAGGTGCACGTGTGAATGTCACAGACTCGCCCGCGAACACTCTTCAACTAATCATCAGATGAGGCCGCTTTTCATGCCGTCTATTCTGCCTTTTGTCAAAGTGTCATGTCAAAATATAAACAAAGGGGAGCCATTGACGCAAAAGCACCGTCTTCTGTTGCTGAATCAGGTTTCAACAAACTGAGATTGATGGCCATAACTAAAGCTCAAAACTCAATGAAATACGAGCACGTATAATTTTCATTTTACTCCTAAATATACTAGCCAACAGTTCATAGTTGTAACTGTTGTATCATTTGACCAGGCAAAAATCGCTATTTCAATCAGCAGGGTGTGAAAAATATTGCAATATTCAAACCCGTGTCGACCTAGACCTTGAATCCTGGCCCTACACCAAAATATTTGCTTCCGTCAAATATCAAGTCTTCGAAGTGGAAACCCCACCTGCGCCTGTTAGACAGAAAATCGCGGCACGTAGCACCTCACGCCTCCAACCTGGCACCGTATTCTGGTTTAGCTGTGGAACAAAATAGTCTGTATCTGTTCTCACGTAACAAAAAAACATAAAATGTCAAAACACAAACCAATTTGTTGCCCAATCCAATGAAAGACGTTGTGTGGGTGTATGTTTTACGTCCAATTCAGATCGTGTTGTTGTTTTTGTCACGTTCATTCAAAGAAACCAGCCATTATTTTGCAACATGTCTCGAAGTTTACAATTAGACCGCACTGCTGTATTGTGTGTATACTGTTACCATTTGAATATTGTTTTTAAGCTCAAATTTCTAATAGAGTTGAAAGATCCAGACGCTGTGTACCGTCGCCAAGATGTTGTTGTTCACGCATATTTTCCGTGAGGTGACTTGCGCCTGGCAACAATTGATTTTCTAAATTCTTAAAATAGCCTGACACATTCTGCTGCGAAGGCGATCATTAAGAACTGGTTTCCCTGTGCGGTTTTACCATGGATTTCAAGTACCGGAAACAGATGTTTAAGACACGGCACTGTTTCCTTCAGGTAAATCACATTAAGCTAAGATTGCATCGTGCCTATGGTAGTTATGCATTGTAATGGAGCCTTGATTATAGCCTTACACCTTAGGAAATAATTCCTAGGCGAATTACCGCGCGATTTTGCCCAGCTACATGCCCAGGATGAAATTATAAGCCGTACCTAATGGTTCTTACTCGTCTACTTTGCAATTAGAGAGTTCTGGCAACCTCTGACGCACTAAGAAAAAAGACGACAAAAAACTAGACACTGGTGTTGACTTCACTGTCTTATGCCTAGTTCCAATTCTCTTCTGCCACTCGAACCATCTTAACATCCCAAATGAAGCTTCTGCATATCTTTTTCATACCAACAGCTAGTAGACAACCGATACTGGCACTACATGTAAGGAACGGCTCTATACATATTCATTATGGAAAGAATTATGTAAACCTCGTTGGAGTCAAAATGCTGCCATGCAATATCTCTGATACAAATTTTGGCAATTTCAAAATTTTGACTTGTACATAATTATATTTCTTGCAGCAGTCTATTGCAAAATATACAGAAAACTGCAGCAGTTATCCTTTGATAATCACAGTTTAGATCCTTTCCCTCTGTATGCCAATCTGGTTATTGATAAGGTACACCGAAATTCATGAAAGTCTTCTCACTTCCGGGTTTTAGGATTTTCTATATTTTTATTTATTTCGTAAATCCACCCGCTACAGTTTATACCGTATTTAAAGTTACAGATTTCACACATAAATTTCAGTTATAAATTGGATTTTACATCGTGTGTAATTTATTTTGTTAATCATTGTGAGGCATTGTCGTGATTTACGGTGAAACGTGATGATTTGTTAAAGCCACAGACAATGTTGATGTCTAGTTTTATTCCATGCTGTGCTGTGCGGTTGTAATATTTCCCATATTTTCAACAGGAGGTTTCTACCCGTGTCGCTTTCATTCACGATCCGTCCCCGGGGCCAGCTATGCTAAGGCCGCAGACCAATAATTGTTGCAAATATTCATGTGAGAGTGCACAATTAACACTGGTGGGGCTCCTGTGAGGTAAAACAGGTCTCGAGCTCGGCTTAGATATTCCCCAGAAATAAACGTATCTCCCTCGGCGCTCGTTATCTAAACATAGCCGCCTGCAGGGTAAGAAGCACAGATCACAGGATCAAATAATGGTGACGTCTTTGCATTTCCTCTCCTACCTTTTATAGAGCTTCGTCTGCGGGTTTTCCGGACAATTACAAGCCACAAAAACACCAAAATGGGCCCTTCCCTGGCTTCTTGCCCATCTATTTTGCCGTTCTTTGAAATTTGAACTATTTTCGAGGTTTGAACCACCAGTATTTTGTTTCCGTGGCTATTAGTAAAGCCGGCGTTGCGCACTGCCAAAGGCTATGGTAGCTGGAAGGTCGGCCAAATGCGCTTCAAAAGCGCCAGAGAATCGAGCGTCTTCTTCGCGGAAAAGTCTACCCTACTGCACGGCGCTCTGTGACCTGTGAATAGTCGATTTGGCAGATCCCTAAAAATCGTGCAATGATGAGAAGACATCGGCCGTACTGGCAGTTCCGGCAGAAAATGTCCCTTTGAGCCTCCCTGCTCTGTGGGGCCGGGTTATCAGAAATGTTATTGGAGAGAACATTCCACATCTAGAATGAATATGCATGCGGTAGGTCAATAACAGTGGGAAAAGACTGTTTACATCAGAAACTTAACGGTTTGTCGACTGGTTACTTGGTTGGTTGGTTGGTTGGTTGGTTGGTTGGTTGGTTGGTTGGTTGGTTGGTTGGTTGGTTGGTCATTTGGTTGGTTGGTTAGATGAAACGTTGGTTCTTCTAACATACATAAGAAATAGAATCAGTGTTTCTTTAATGAGTTATTGATGGCATTTTCTCTGATTGATTGTGTGATTGATGATCACTTGATCAATACATTGATTTGTTCATTCCTGGCGACCATAGACGTACACATATCACCCCAGGTCCGCACTGCGTTACCCGGAGCCAAAACAAATTCAGCGTAGCTTCTTTCAAATATCAACGCGGGGGCGTCAAACACAATATATATCCGGACAGACGTGTACATGTATCAAGGCTGGCTTGAGTAAAGATCAATCCGTCTACACCGCTAACCCTCAGCGTTATGTATGGATTCCCAGAGAAGCAGACTCATCTATAAGCTATTTTGGGAAAGACTGCTGCGAAAAAGCTACACCCAGACAAAGAAATACGGTCACTGCTATTCGCAATGTACTATAAACACATAGAAGACGAATGTGCCAGCACACGAATTCACAGTGGGAAAGCGTTTTGCCGTGTATTTTTAGAGCTTTTCGCAGTTAACATTTCAAGAAAATATCAAGGTGTATTGTAGAGATGGCAGTTGAAAGCGGCAGGAATAAGCTAAGGTGCAATATGGAGAGCCGTCTTCTTGCTTCGTATACTTTAGATAAAAGCAACGCCGGCCGTATTGGGTGAATAGACGACAATATTTGCTGCAAAATGACTGACGTTTAAAATGCGTTTTACGGTGGTGTGATAAATTTTCTGCGGGAAGAATACAGCCGCCGAAAGAACGTACTAAGGACAAAGTGCCTGCATGGTTATTTACGATCTTGCCACACTTCAGAACCTTCGCGGACATGGAATCATACCTTGATACCATCTTCGGGATGAGGAGGCTCCGCCTGTAGCAATCCTGGTCGCGAACGTTACTCAGGCTCTCCCGATGTTTGTCCAACCGTGATTTAAACTCATTCACTGTTTTAGAGTCAACCACGGACTGTGGCAGGGCATTCCAGTCGCTGACCATTCTAACACTGAAAGTCTGCCTTCTCTCATGATTATCTCATTTCTCCCGCCCGTCCAGGTGGTGCCGTGGGACGATAACATCAACATCAACGGCCAGACGTCCAACAACGCCGGGGGCCAGGTCCGCCGCTGCCTCAGCCTGACGGAGAACATGACCTACACGGCCCCGCCCACCCTGCCGGGGGAGACGTTCGTCCGACACTCGGGGCCGCTGCCGACCCTGACCGAGACTACCACGGACGTGGACCTGGGGCACGCCGTCAGGAAGGTCATCGTCGTGTCCTCAACGGCGTCCCTGTGAGGATGGGGTACTCTCAAGAGCAGACGTGAGGTGCTTTTGTAGCTTTTTCGGGCGTAAGATTTTTGGACTGGAAACCAAGGGTGATGGACACTCACATGAGACACTGGACGGACACAATTGGGGACACTGCAGACTAAACTAAAAAGACGAATTTGCTCCAGTTTCAGGGAATGGTATTTTCAGTAATGAATGCTAAGTGATTTTCTGTCAAATGTAATATAAGAGATGTTAACAAATCTTGAGAGTGGAGAAAGTGCCATCAGATAGAACGCAGCTTCGCAACTTTTTGTACATAGTGTTTCTCCTTTGGTTGTGATTTGATTTCGTAAAATTTGCGATGTACATGCAGATATATAATGTCAGTACGTGCCAAATGACGTGGTAGGTGGCCTTAATGTATATTAATCAGGAACAATATCAGTAGACAGATGTTGTTTTACGCAGAAGGGCGGTTCTTCTGGGTATACAGAAACAGATACTCGTTTGAAAAATAGTTTTACTGATCGTAAACTCTGCTGAGATAGTTGGCGGCTGTCTATCGATTCACACACTGTAAGCGGGCGGTGAACACAAAGGGAGTTTCCAACTACCCCATTGAGAAATTTCCCTTGCTGTAATAGATGTCTGATGTCACGGTTGACGGTGTTTTTACTACCGAAGGCGCCGAGTTTTAAGAGCACTGCGTCTCGCAGTAACACTGGTGCCGCACACCAGAATATGAAATATGAAAACATATTTATCATGTGAATGGGAACTGAAAGTTTTCTCACATTTTGTACATACCGTTTGTAACATAGTTTGTTGTGAAAATTTTTGCAGTATCCATAACAGTCCGGAAGAATTTGTACTTGACTTTTGTCTGTAAATGATGATAAATATGAATGACTTGAATATCTCTAAGAGGAAAACTGAACAACATTGTCGTATACTTCAACATTAAGGATACAACTCACAATTTGATCTCTCTCTGACTTTGCTCCAATGTGTACCTGAATTAGAACAAAGTGTAGTTAGCCGGTTCACGATTTGAACTGCGTATACACACGAGGTTAAAGATGAGAGCCCTACTGGTAAACACTTGTTGTTTAGACCATCCATGATACCATTGTTTATATCCCATGGGCCTTCATATTACCCACAAAACATCACATGGCGGTGTGTGCAGTTCAAACCGTGAACCGGCTTAAACTTATACATATTGATCCACTGTTATTTTATGGTAAGGGTCAGTCTGATGACACACAAGGCAGCAAGCTTCCTTCTGTCTGTCATGACCAAGAACAAATGTATCATGTAATAGACTTCATCGTGATTAAGAGTATTATAAAGAAATGTTCTATATCCAGATGTAATGCAAAATTGCTGCTTGACGACTTCCAATACCGTGCCATATCGTCACGATGACGCATTGTTATTGTAAGCCATTTCAAGAAGGTAAAAAAACACAATAAAGAAATTGTGAAAGTGGAAATTTTATCATATAATAGAAGATTTCTTAGCGGGAGACAGGGTTTCGTATTACCAGGAAATGACCTTGATATCGTAGTTTTTGGAAATATTTTGTACTGGATTGTTTGTAAATAGTTTGATGCTGATGATATTTCCAGAAATCGTGGAGTATTGTTCTTTTGTGCGCCATAAAACATTTATATTGTTCGCAGACATGACACGGATATAAGTTGGTGATGTAACTTTACTGTATTGCATAGAGAGCATCCAAGCTAATATTTTGCACGTTGTGATCTTATGGATGGGTATACTTATCAGTAATCTAAATGTTTCGGTTGCTTTTATGCACTTTCTTAGCTATATGATGTGAATCTATGTTCATGTTTCAAGTTGTTGTTTCTAGCTACTCTGTGATGCATGGTGTATTAGTAATATAGATAGTTTTACTTGCGTAGAGACATAGTCAATACGTGGAACCATCTTATGTTGATACTCAAAGTACCCAAGTGCACAAAAGTAACTTGTAGACCTTTCTTAGATGTAGGATCCCACCTTCGTACATGATCTGTAACACCGTGGAACAAGCTGTGCTGACGTGTAAGACAAGGTTTCTCCTTGAGGTAAATGTAAAGTTTCTTGATATGTTTGTATGAACTTTCAATAAACGGAATTCAAAGATTGTAAAACTGACTTTGTATGTCTTCTCTTAACATTATAATATTTCCAGATCAGTTCTTTTCACCGATTTAGAGTAGTGTGTTTCTACAAGTACCAATAAACATAGCAATGCAGAGAGACCAGTAGAAGCTATAGCTAGCGTTCGGAATAATTGTAAGTAGGAAACACCAAAGTAGTGCTCATAACAAATTCGTCATAGTCTCAACGCCCCTGCAACACAATAACATATTAGGTCATGTCTTGAAAGGTTATGAGCAAATACAGTCCCCTGGCATGAGACCAAACTAATATTTTTAACGAAAGAAGATCTGACGGGTATATATGAACTCCCAGTAGCTGGGTCAATACCCTGCAAATACCTTTTTCCAGTGGCTTTTTAGTTTGATATTTTTTTGTTTATGTTTCAAATTATTTGATTGATATGCCGCTGGCCCGGTTCTCGCCACACCACAGTTTAATTGGTGAATAACGGAAATTCCATCTCTGCGTTTTTCGTTTCAATCATCATAGCAACGGCCCAAATATTGACGTGGCGACTAAGCAGCTGGAAGTTAATTCAGGTTAGATGCTCTTGCATATATATGCGACTGCGAGAGGCATCAAAAGCACTGAGCGCAGCTGGAGGTCTGGGAGGATTTATGGTGGAAGGAGGGAAAACATCAAACAAAGACCTGCCGAATAATAAAATATAGCAAGTCTCAGTGTATTAAAAAGAAATTGACAAATTTTGTAGATCCAAATATTTCGAAAAATCTAAATTGAATCAGTATTACATATACTTTGGGCATTTAAAACTGCAGAAACAAGCCCCACGATGAGTCCTTTATTTATGGGTGATGCTCTAAAAATCAGCCCAGGGCCCTTCTAGGAACCATTTTTCAGTCAGAAGTTTGGGAATTTTTTGCTCCATGAGGGTCAATATACTCGTACATTGGATTGTGTAAAAAAAGTCGGGTCTCCAAGCCCTACAAACTGCATTGGATGCCTTTAACTGACGTTGTCACATTGGAGACAGTATATATTTAATGCGCATATGTTTCACCTTGACATTAAGTTCCAACATGGCGTCTGCGTGTGTTTGTTGTGAATTAGAACGGCGGTTTCAAGACATTTTACTTGATGTATCTAAACTCCTACATGATGAATAGCTACTCCGTTTCAATCCTACCTTGACATTTCTTTGCTTTTGAAATGAACAAAATGAACTACGTGTATTTCCAACCGCCAGTGGATGTCTTCTATTAGACTTCTCGTCGCCAGTGTAATTTGGGAGGCGAATGCCCCGGTTTGTGCAAAATGATTGGTCCCCAAGGACGGCATATAGACGAAATAACGACTCTGGAGTACTGCTTAAATAGGTGCAAATTTGACAACTCGGGAATGATGGCATCAATTGAATTGTCCTTATTCCTTCTGTAGTGTGTTCACTCCTAATAAGTTTTTACATTCAATGCGAAGGCCCTTCCAGATTCCAAGTCATGTGTTTTAAGACAAAACGGTGTCCACTTTTTAAGGAGAGGCGCACTAGAAGACACTTGCAAGGGACATTGAAAGAAGTGGGCAGAAAATGAATGACTCGTATTTTCCAACAACTATCGTGGAGTGGAATTCGAGCTCGTTGCCACCAAGCACAGTTGGGGGCATCATCACTAGAAAGCTTTAAACAACTCATGCAATCAAGGCTCATGCGAAAACACAGACATACATGTACAAACGGATACACAGACACACAGACACAGACACAGACCCAAAAACAATACCTCCCTTTTTCATCAAGTTAGATAGTACTACAGACCGGATATGTATCATAAATTGAACACACGTAATTTACAACAATTATTGTACATTTCATATTCAGCCAGACATTAATTAATTGCACTAAATTCATATTGTTAATAACGCGGCGTACGTGCTGCTCTTGATTTTGATTAGATATATGAGTGAAAAAACAGCCCTGTTTCCATCCAGGCAGAGATGATACCATTTCGACATTGGGAGTGGCGCGTTACATAAATACTGTTGATCGACCTGAACCTTTGTACAGTCGCACGGAACATTATCCAACCCCCGCCCTCTCCCACAGACCCACAAGATGGATGACTCTATTGAAACATCCTAACGTGAGACATGGAAACATCGCAGGATGTACCATTGACTCGTCCTTGAAGCGCAGAGCGAGTGTATGCAGATAGGCACGGGGTCCGGATGGCAAACTTGAACGAATGAATGGACACGTCAATGGGCTCTTACCCGTCCTCCGCGAAACTCAATAACGTTCTTGAAATATCCTGACATTAGGTCTTTTTCTACTCGAGGTGATCGTTGAGCAACCAAAATAGCATTTGTGTGACCCTTGATTTTATAATTGGATTTTGATGCGAGATGTAAAAATAAGTGCGTTTTATTGTCTTTTGAAAACACATAGAAAGAAATAGAAATGATGGTTCTTTATCTATATAATGTAATTGGTTGAGCGATGTGTCAAATTTTTTGGTGATTTGATTTGTGGTTGCTGCACTCGGCATTTGGCACGATGTCCTCTGCTGATATGTACATTCGCTTTCATCCCTTACGAATGTCTTCTTAAATGTCAGCCATAAATTATTTGCAGGCCAGAGGAAAAGCACATCGATTGGTACACCGTAAAACAATTCTGGCCTTGCCAGCCACGTCTGAGGAAATCGGTTAAAGGCATCCAATGCGATTTCAGTGCAACAAAACTGGAAATATTATGAATACATACTGCTTCACATTAGCATATTTAAATCAACATTTCAAACCTTGGGCATTTAAAACTGCAGAAACAAGCTCCAATATGAGTCCTTTATTTCCTGGGTGGTACCCTAAAAATCAAACCAGGGCCCTTCCAGTAACCACTTTCCGTCAGAATTTTGGGAATTTTTGCTCCATGAGGGTCAATGTTCACTGGGATAGTGTGTTTCAACTCAGTAAGTAGATAAGTGACTAGAATATTGACTTTGAAAAATCTGTTTTCCAAGCCCTAAAAACTG